AAAAGAGGAAATACAAGATTAGAGGATAAAAAAGTCAAAGAGAAATGGAGAGCTCATTGCATGTGTTCAAAGAATAAGAAGCATCAAAGGTAAGGACAGCAGCCAAATGAATCATCAGGATGCTATAAATAATTCTGAAGTAATCTCTTTATCATTACAAAAGCGAATTAGGAGAAGCTGATGGGGCAAAAGCCTATGGTTTGAATTTAGAAGACATTATAGCAGTCCGGGGTGCACAAAGTGTTCTGCTGGGGCCTCTGGGAGGGACTTGATTGCGCGGCTTTGACGGGATTGCTGGAAAGAGAGCGCGGGGAGCAGGTGGCAGAAGGGCAGGGCAAGGACCTCTGAAAGCATCGTGCAGTCCTTATGTACAGGTTGTGGCAAATCAGAATCCCTTTGGGAGTTAAGTTTGTTAACAAGCTCCAAGGTTAATTGTGTTTCAGCTCACGTTCACTTGCCATTTGAATGCCTGGTGATTTCTGTTAGTGAGAAAAAAATTATTGCAGTAGTACTTTGAAATTGCACGGTGCCACTCTGATGGTCTAATGTGTCTGGAAAAGCAGAAGTGAAACTGCTGATCACAGTTGCTGTTCTCTGCACGGAGAATCAAAGCGGATTTTCAGCGATTCCCTGTGTGTGCTTCAGCCAGGGCACTTCCCCTCTGTGTGAGCACAACTGCATGAGCAGTGCTTTAGACCCACATGGACAAAACCTTGGAGCCAGTGATAGCAAAAGGGATCTCATGTTATTCAAAGATAACAGGATACAGTCTTTGTTCGTTAATATGATTTTGTGAGGTGGCTTAGAATGGACTTTCATGCATCTGCAATGCTAATCTGCTGCCTCTGCATGTATTATAAATGTTATCCTACCACTTGAAACTGAGAGAAGCAGGATGTTACAGTTAAATATCCCAAATACCAGCACAAAATATTTTGCTGGTTCTTATCAGTTATTTAGTCTCAGTAGACGAGAATGTACATTTTTTTTGTTACATCAAGGCACAAGCTTTGTGTCGCCAATTTTCCCTCATCTGATGCTATTGGTTCAGCATCTTGGTATTAGACCTCTTATGGACATAGATACTATTTTGAAGAGATAATTTTTGGACTCTAATGTAAACCTTTGCTCTTTGCCTTGCAAAATATCTCATCCTTTCTGCAAAATGTTTACATAAAGCAGATACAGTCTGTCCCACATAAACAGATACTGTCTGTCCCATAAGTTTAGATAAAGCACATCCAGGCTTCCCTGTTGCCTCTTGCTCCAGCAAATACGTTCTTTGAATTGATGTTTGCTCTTTCTTTCAGGGTCTGTGAAATACTGCTTGAGGAAGCTACTTCTGTTTCCACTGATATGAATCTACCTTGTCAGCCTTTTCTGAGATCCCTAAAGATAGTAAATGGGAATGTGACATTTTACTGCTGTGGGTCAGCTGCTATCTGACAAATAGAAACAAATAAAAATATAAACTCTGGGGGCAGAAATTTCAGTCTGCTCTATGAATATTGATTTATGAAGAATCAGAGATGGGAGTTAAATTAGTATCTTTAATTAGAATGGAATGGGAGTATTTTTGGTGCCTATTCTTTTTTTTCCTTTTTTTTTCCTTTTATTTTCTTTTTTTTTTTTTAAGTTGGCAATTCTTTATGACTTGTCTGTATTTTTTTTATCCATGCTGATTATCACCGTGGTTTACCACCACATTTGCATCAATATGGTGCATAATCCTCAATTATCATTTTGGTTTTCTGAGTTGCTATTCTCTGAGAAACTTTTATTGTTTTTCTTGGCTTAACTGCAGACTGTCTCCACCCTCTTTCCTTCTGCAAGTGATCAAATTCTGTAAAGAATTCTCTGCTTTGGATAGACTATCACTTCCCACCCATGCTGTTCTCACTGAGGTTGGAAACGTTATTAATTTTATTTAGTGTAGGGAAAAGCTTGGCTAACCCTTCAAAACAATCTTTCAAGTCCTGTAATTCAATAAAGTCCTTATTTACAATGGCCATAGCTATTTTTCTCAATGCTGTCCAAACTGAGTTCTCTCTGGTTACGAGAGAATGAAGCATTGTTTTCCATTCTGACAGTAAATGGTTCTATTTCATTTTTTAGTGCAGGAAAAGTGCAGCATAACCTTGTTTAAAAGGTTTTCTAGAAAAAGAAGCAGCTGTTACTCTCCACATTATGCTATTCTTAATGGGGTTTGTGCCAGGGACTGAGGGAGAAAGGCTGGCAGTTGTATATGACCTGGTGAGTGTAAAACTGTTATTCTGAGACTTGGATTTTCCAGTTATTTCCAGCGCTAATCATTGCTTTTTCTTACACACCACCACACAAGCACTGTATTTCAGTTCTCTCTGTTGATTTAACTCTTGATTTATTTCTTTCTTTGGACTCAAAATTATATAAGTAAAGATAATATTTTATTATGATGTGGATGAAACCACTTCCCAATAACTGCCATTTCAGATGTACGCAGTGCCTCTGACCAAGTCTGCTTTTACTGAGGTCTCAGCCTAAAGCTGGGTAGATACAACCATTATTTCCTTGCACAAACACAAAAAGTGTGAGTGGTGGCAGCATGGAAGTTGTAAATGAAACCTTTGGAAAGCTCTACAGCACTGAGGCATTGGATTCCTTACCTTAGGACCCACCAAAGAGCAGCTAGGAACGAAGTAAGAAACTCTAGATTTGAAAAGAAATGCCATCTGGGGTCACCTGTAACTTAGCGTCCTTGACAGCTTCATGGCGACTGTGTTAGACATCACTTGGTGTTACATCTTACACCTTACCCTTCCTTCCACCCATATAAAAGAAAAAATCAAAGCTGAAAGCTAATTTTTCCTTCCTGTGGTAATTGTGGTGTGTTTTAAAGTGCTGTGAACAGGTTTGGAAATGGCAAGAGATTTGAAAGAGTGTTTGACATGGGCTGAAATCTGCAGCAGAAATTCCCAAAGATCCTTTTTCTATAGCTGGCTGCTTGTTTGGGAATGTCTTACAGGGATAGCAGTTCAGTGCTTCATGTACTTCTGTCATGCAACAGCTTGGTGAATTTTTTCCAGCTTCTTGACCAAATGGTCCCAGCAGTCCTTTTACCCATGCAGCATGTTCTGCAAGTGTCAGTCACAGATCAGAGCCTTGTTTGTGAGGAACTGAATTCATGTCAAGACTTGAGCATATTGGCCTGGACCCCCAGATACCCGAGAACCAAAGAAATTACCATTTTCACTGCTTTAAAGTTCCATTTCCTGCCCACCCCTGCAATTCAGGTGAGTTGTGAACAGAGTAGCAACTCCCTTGCCTTCCCTCTGCATTTCAAGGCACCAGTGAATTTGGCCTGAACATAATTTGGCTGCAGGGCTGCAAGTGCTGGCAACAGCTGAGTGCATTTTCTCCTCATCTCTCCTGGCAGCAGCGTGCTGCTGGGCTGTGGCCACTTGTAGCACATGGCACCACCACAACCTGCACATCCACCACCTGGAAAAGAAAGAATAAAAGGGGTCTCTGTGTGAGAAACTGGAAAAAATGGTGAATCTGGAGCTTCATCAGTACCGATGAAGTCAAAAGAACATGGGCCTACCCTCCACGCCAGTGTAGGAAAGGCTCCACCAGCACAGCTCAGACTTTCCAGAGATCCCAGAAGACTATTTGAGCATTTATTCTGACTCTCCCATATAAATCTGATTATAGAATTTCTCATGATATCCTGTGGGGAGAGTTAGGTCATAGCTTGGGTTAGATAACAGACATGTCATGAAATCTATCTTGGACATTAAGATTTTGTATGCTCTCAGTAGAAAGCAGAGGGTACTGAGAGCCCACTCATACCTGGAAATAGATACATGGTTCATCTTCAGGCAGTCTGGAGACTGCACACCATCAGGGATCTATTTGAGAGGAGAAGTACCACAAAAAGACCTCTGCCCCATCCCTGCTGCACAGCCATTCTGTATCTGGAACTGTGACTCTGCCTTTGATAGTCCTCTCTCAGGGCAAAGAAAGACTGATTTAGATGGTTTGTGAATATATATATATATCAAAATATATATAGAAATATATATATATTTCTGTATATATATATATATATACCCCATATATATAAAAATAGATTTAGCAGATACCTGTGTAGATATAGCTAACTGTTGCTACAGTCCTTCAGTCTCTTAGATGGTCTTTTCTGTTCTTTATGATCTAGATACCTGCATTTTTCTGCTGCAGGGGCTTGTGCCAAGAGAAGGCCCACACAAACGGAGCTGTCTCCTCTGTGCCTCAGTCATGAGGAGCCACGTCCCTTGGTGCTGCCTTAAAGGCTCCCTGCAGGGACTCAGCCACCCCAGACCTGGCACCCCTTTGCTGCTGCTCAGTCCTGGGCCCTGCAGCTGGCTGGGATCATGCTCCAGAGCTAAGCAGTAACTAAAGCTTCAAGTGTCCTGCTAACAGAGTGTCACCCGAGCATAATCCAGGCCCTGACTCAAATTGACAAGGACAGGTTGGGCTCTGAATAAATCTCTTTAAATAGCAGCAGCCATCTCTTTCAAAGGCACTTCCCCCCCAGCCAGCCCTTACAGCACACTGCCTGCTATTTCCCACCCAGGCAGTGCAGGGCTGACACTTCCACAGGCAAGTGTGTCCCCTGCCAGCAGCCTCCCAGCTTTGCTTTGCTCCAGGAGTTACAATGAATTTTGCAGCACAGTTTATCTACTTCAGGGTCCTAAAAAACAGAAGTCCCAGGGAGCGCTCCAGGGAAGACGAAGACTACGATCCTTTCTGGCAAAGGTTGGAGAATATTGCTGTGTGACTTAGAGCTAGAGTGCTCCTTTATCCCCCTCAGGGGTCACGGGCAGCCCTCGGGGTCCACCCAGGGCCAGGCCCACGGACATGACAACCCCTGGACCCCTCCTGCCTCCTTATGGTGTCGTAGTTGGAGTTTTGCTTCGCCTCGTTGTTTATTTAGTCGCTGTGCTGTATAGGTAATGCTTTCTTTTTCCTTTCCTTAATTTCTTTAAAAAATCAAACCTAACAAAAAAATCCAGAAAATTGTTTTTGATTTCCCATAATCTCCCAGCATTCTGTGTATATGGGTTGCTCTTGGGGTTATCCACTAGAAGTGGTGGAGATTTGAATATTTTTAGCCCACAGAGTTCAGCTTTTTTATTTCTTCATGAGTACAGTATCAGAAATAACTCTAGACAGGCCAGTGGACTGCTGAAAATTTGTCTTGGGATAGCCCTTGTCAGATCCTGTTATTACAGCTCTGTGGTTTTCTTTGTTATGGTGCTTTGGATGATCTTAAATTTCTGTTTTCAGACTTGGATGGTGCAGCTGGAATTTGAGTCATCTAGTGTCCTTGTGTAGCATGAGCTGAGGCTGTGCATACACATGGCATGGTGGTGTTGTGCAACCTCATTCTTAACCTTTTCCATTGTTTGTTTTTCCCTCCATTTTATTATCTGAACGCCACTATTGAGATCACTCTCTGTTTTTGCCAGATGTGGTACAAACAAGGAACAACTCTCATTTCCTGCATCTCCTTGTCACAGATGTTGTTAACATTTAAGACATAAATTGTTTCAGTGGGCCTGATGCTGTTAATAAAGGAGAAGATAAGGTCTTCTGCACTGTGAAAAGGGCAAAGTCACCCATGATAGGACCAGTTCTGCAGTGCACTGTGAATCTCCTTTCAGCACAGGACCACTTTTTCCTCTATTTTGAGTTATGCTATTCATTCCTAATTGGAGGTGAATTGTGGAGATGTGTTAGTCACCAGAAAACCTCTAGACACAGAATACATTCAACTTAAGAAAAGGTTTAATTGCTTAATGAGTTTTAGCTGCCAAACTCTGTGCAGTGTTGGGTAGCAATCATTTGACATTCACAGCTATGAATGTCTTGTAAGAACTTTTGAGAGGGATGAGTCTGTTTGAGGGACGGTTGGTTACCTCTGCTTCAACATTTCCATGATGGGTGGCCTTGTGAATTCTTCTTGCTTTCAGATTGCTTTTCCTAGTGCTTCTATTTAGCAGCTGTATATGCTGAGTAGAGTTTTAAAGGCCTGCTCAGTTTCAAGGCTTGGTTATTTTGTAGCTGTGCTGGATGGTCACAGTGCTTTACACTTTTGCCATCCAGACTGGTTCCTCTGCCCCGACCTCCTTGTCTTTAGGACACTGATAAATAGCCCTGCGGAAGTCTTAGGCAAGTCACTGGATCTGCCTGTGTCCCAGTTTCCATCAATAAACTTGTGCCTAATATTTGCTGAACTTGTCCTTCTGTTTAGGGGAAGGTGTTGGTGATTCCTGTGTGATTTAGTAACGATCACTTTGCATAGGCTTTAGATATATAAAGGTTAGACATGCAATTTATATTTCCATCCTGTATGTGCCACTAGTTGGAGTAATTAAATCTAGAATGGGTGTTTCTAAGTACTAGTATTCCACAAAATACTGATATTTCAATATCAAAATAATGATAGTTCAAGACAGTCATATTTAATGTGCAGTATTGTCTTTGATCTGTTTTGAATTTATTGTCAAAGAGAGAGAATTGTCAAATTTATTGTGTTCCTTCCCTGTGCCTGGAGGAGTTTACTTGTCACCCTGTAGTGGTGTGCAGGGCACTCAGGCACTATTGAGTGCATAACCTGGAATTTCTGGTAGTGAAGATGACATTTGGTATGGTCCTTCTTGATACTTTTATCTCAGAAAGCCTCTATTTTTCTACCATTTGTCTTTCATAAAGTCACACTTGCACAAGTTGCTGAGATGCTTTAAAGAACTGCTGCTCATGCAATTCTTTGGATGTATTTGAGAATGGATAAAAAGGTAGAGGAGGAGTTGAGATGGAACAGGAATGTATATGAGCTGCTAGAAAAGGGGATTGCAACAAACAAGGAAAGTATCAGAGGGGTCTGAGAGGCTCAGGTAGTGAGAAAGGTCAGAGGAGACAGCACTGGGACATGGAATTAGAAGGATTAAGGGAGCTGGAGAGGTTCTGGGCAAAAGGGATTTGGATGAGGGAAAGGGCCCTCTCTGTCATATCCTGGGATTGCCTCTTTCTCACTCTTGTAAGAAGAGGTCCCAGCCCCAGCCACACTGCAGTCATAAGCCAGGCAGACTGCTACTGCAGCAGGCTGCTCACCCTGCCTTGCCCCCTGTACATGACCCATCTCTGCCCAACACTGAGGGAAGAGGCAGAAGTGACTTTAAATAGGGTCACCTTTTGCCTTAATAAGTATTCTGAACTTGCAGGTGTAAGATCTGAGCCCAGTTACCTCAAAGCAGATGACAAATATGTCTAAAGCTGTATCTTACCAATGTTTCTTGGTCAGCATGCTCCAGGAAAGTCTTCAGGGAGCCTGAAGATGATGGCAGCATATAGGTATGACCTTAAGAAACCCCGACACCCAAAACATTAAAAAAGGACAAAATTAAAATCCACATGTAGAGAACATGTGCATATGAGTTTGAAGTGGTATTCAAGCTTAATATTTTGTGACTGCTCAGCCCAAGCTGGGCATAGGAACTGGAACCTCTTGTGGCACAGGCCTATAAGGATGCTAAAATATTCCACAGAACTTGTGCCATACTGTTGCTGTCCACAAAAATCAGATTCTTTACCTGGCGTGCAACAAGCCAGTAATTGCACACTGAGAGAGCCATTCATTATTCTTGAGAGTTGCACAAGCCTGGGTGCTCTGTGCATTCCACAAATCAAGCACACCAACTATCAGTAGTATCTGTGTATTTACTATCTGTACATTTCAAAAAACAAAGGAATTAGCTTTTATTTGCTACAAGTTCTCTTATTAATTAGCATTATATCTTCTATTGATTAATTATTCTCTTGTTTCTCATGCTAATTAGTCCTTGTGCTCAGTCTTTCTTTTTGTTTGGTTCAGTGGTTTCTTGGGTTGATGGTTGCAGTTTAACCCTTCCAGAATCATCTTTTACCCAGTCAGAGCTGATTTCAGCACAGCTGCTAAGTTGGCTTTGTTAGTTTCTCCTTTGTCTTGGGAATTCTGCCAAATGTCCTTGGGGCCCATAAATTCTGTATTTTTTTGTGTCCACTATCAGTGGTACATCCTTCTCCCCAGGCTTTGTTAACCTCATATGAGGTCCAGGATCATTGAAGCATGTCAAGCCCTAACCATTACTGAGGCAATTCTACCAACAAGTAATTCACTTTTCTAGCACATGAACATCACTTAGACCTTGTTAGCTGCTGTTTCATGGATTAAATCTCCCTTCTTGTTGATTAGACTTGAAAATACACAAACATCAAAAACATCCTTGCTTAAGAAAACTTTTACATTTGCACATTTTGCAACACTGTCAGTCCCTCTTAATAGTGAATGTGTATCACTGTGAATGCAGATGAGAAAAGTTGATGTAGAAATGACAAAGGCTGAGCTTTCAGTCTTATATTAAAATTACTTTCATTTTGGGACAGTTGAATTTCCATCTGTGAACCAGTACATGGGAACATATATCTATAATTTCACTTCACGTCTGCCTCAAAACATGGTGCTGTGACTCATTTTGAAAGTGTAAAAGCTGCCAAATGGGCCAACTGCTGGCATGGGGTACAACTGCAATCAAAATGGCAACACTGGGCCAGGCCAAGAGAAGTCCTACTCTGTGTACTTTGTGTCTCTCTCAAGGGGTGGCCAGTAACAGAACTGGGAGAAAAATAAATAAAAGCCACTTTCTCTCACATGCTTTCATGGAGTTTGCCAAATGCTCAGGGGTTTCCTGAATCACAGATTAATTTTTGAATGATGTGTGTATTGGTCACTACTTCCATTTAGTTGTGCATTTTTTAGGAGCCCATTTACATTATTGCTCTTCATAGAGTCCTCTTGCAATGAATTCTGTGAGATAATTATTTTCTCTAAGAAGGAACATTTTAAATTTTCTACCTGATACTTTAATAGCATCTCCCCCTAACATTTATACTGGGCAGGATGGTGACTAGTCTTTCACATTTTGCTATTCCCTGGACATTTTGCAGATTTTGCTCCTTCAGTTTTAGAAGCTGAGGAGATCAAGTGCCTCAGTTTAACCTATTTTGTGTGTCTTGTGGGTCCTGAGGCAGGCAATCTGAATGTGCTTCATGATGGGGACTTATAAATGTTCATCATGGCACACTTGGACACTTCTCTGTCTAACAAAGGCAACAGTTGTGGTCTTTAGGTATAGTATGCATTATTGCTTTTCATCTTCCCAAAATTATCTTTGCTGGTTTTATCATTTTCTTAGTTTGTTAATATTGCTATTTCTGATTTTTTTTTCTCTAGTACTGTTTAACTTGATGAATATTATCAGTATGTTAAAAAACCAAACTGGAAATAGAAAAATGATTCATTCCAAGTTGTTGCTTTCTATTATTGTAGGAGTACATTTTGGTACTTACTGTTTTTTTATTTACTTTGAGATTTTAAAATATGTAAAGCTATCTACTTAAACAAATGATATCTTTATCTGTGCCTTAATTGTTTATAGAAAGTCTGCATATGGATCTTCTCTTTTTTTTTTTTCCAGTTATGCTGAGCAGCTGTTCTTGAAAAAGTAGGTTTATAAACTGTATTTTCATGTTTGCTTTTACTAATCACTTTAAAGGTAAAATGTTGTAATTTATAACCATGTAACAAAGCTTGCCAGCTGGGTATTTGTTTTATGTCTGGAAATAAACAGACCTTTTAATGAAAACTTGTGACAAGCTCCAAAAAAGGAAAAGGTCCATTTGAAAGGAAGAGTGTTTTATAATGTTGGGGCTTGTATTTATATTGGCTCAGATCTTCATCTGGTGGACATGGCTGCTGGTTTTGTGAGTGCTTGAGGAGTCACGTGCTGTGTTTTTTGTGAGCACTTGCATGCTTTGCTGCCTGCTTTGGCTGTTCCTGTAAAAGAAATCCATATAGGTCTCTGCCAAGCATGTAGAATGCTTTTGAGGCAAGAAATACTTCTGACCCAACAGGGCCATTAGTTGCCCATTTGTGATATGTGATCAAACTTCAGTGCATGGTTTACCTTGGGAGTTTGAGAGCTCTAGGATGGTCTGTGGCACATCCAGGCCATGTGGGAAAATGTCATTCTCTAATCTAAATGAAACATGTGGGTGTAGAAGAATCAAAGTTATTCTGAAATAAATACACACAATACATATATATACAATAGAATGAGATCCCCTTGATAAAGAGGCTTCTGACTTTTCAGATGCAAATGTATGATAGTTTTCATATTAAATATTGAGATGGTAATAATTCAAATGTGCTCTAAACCTATGTCAAGCCTGAAAAGCCTGTACATATTTTCCAACTGTTTGATTTCTCTTCCTCTTTTCCAATGATCACAAGGTGTTGTCTCCACTGGAGTCCTGAGCAGATACCCACTGGTCATGAGAATGGCACTGCACATCAAGGACTGAGAATCTGATTTACTTCCCTCCTTTTTTTTGTTCTGTCAAAAAAGGGAAACCTAAGACTAGGGCAAAAATCAATATACCATTTTAGTCTATTTGCAGATTTGATGACACTAGTGTGATGAGGCATTACCATGCACTCTACTTTTTCACAGAATCCTGCTTCACTGATACACTTCTTGTGGCCATCTTTGGCTGGGTATTTTAATAGACTTTTTGATTGCAACAGATGGAATGAAAAATGAGACTTGTTCTTCCATCTCAAATTCCAGCTGGTTAAAAAAATTTGACCCATAAACTCACACATTTTTGATCTGCCTATTTTTTTTTTACCCTACACAGACCCTTTAAACCATTTCCAGTGTAAGAACATAATTAATTGCTAATGCTTGTTGAACATTTTAGACTGTATATTCTGAAATAAGACCTATCTGTTCTTCCTTTTGGAGTGGTTCCGAGAGTCTGTGTTATGGAAAATATTTTTTCGGAAGGGAGATGCATGGAATGGACTCTACCAGTGCTGTGGCCTCTTGGGTGCTGCTGCTGTTGTTGTCTGGAGGTTGTGCTGTATCAAGTTCACAGGGAGGCAGTCTGATCTGGTTCTCAGCTTTGCATTAAGCAGGCTAATGTGCACCCAAGCTAACACTGGAAGCTTGATATCTTTATGAAGTGTTCCAGCTGTCTAATCCCAATGGAGCAGAGATGCAGAAAAGTATAGAACAGAGCTCCTTGTAAGTTATTTGATTTGAAGCAGAACACCTGGTGTTAGGCTGTATCAGCTTTAAGATACAGTATTGGGAAAATACTTTAGATCACGAGTTTCAACATAAAGAGGTTACAATTGTGCATATACTTTATTTATCTTAGAAAATTAGTGTTCTCATAATTTTAGAGAGAGAAGATCTTCCTACAAAAATTTTCTCTTGTGAAGATACACAGAATGATTGATACTATGGTATATTACTTGATTCTAATAATAAAACATTTTATGTTGCCCATATTATTATGTGAATTCCTCAGTGGAAAAATTGGAAGTTTAATAGGAACCAGAGCTACTGGAACAGATTATTGATACCATTAAGGAAATGGATGATACTGCCCAAAGTAGGCAATTACTCAAAAACCAGATGTTTCAGATGTTTCTAAATATTTAAAAATTCTTTTGGAAGTTGCTGCAAAGCATATTATGGTGTTGATCACTGCTGTAAAATGTGCTTTAGCCAGTCTTGTTGATGGATAGCTGCAAAACTTAGACCAAAATTATTTTAGGAAAAAGGTAAATAGTTTTTGTTAGAGATAATGCTGGAATCTCTGACAGAATTTAGCATGTTTGGTTTTAGAAAACCATTCCCACCAAATAGATGAATCATAAGTCATGTAGAGGAGCTTATACCATGTGTCTCATGACAGCCACAAACCAGGGGTGATATCAGCTCTTTTCCAAGTCACTGGTCTTCTGCTTAATGCTCCCTTTCCCATAATAATCTCCAAATTCCAAGACCTCCTAGAAGCTTTGCTGTGGACTGAATGCTGTGGACCATAGACAGGCAATTGAAGGTAGCAAATCTAGCAAATGTTTCTAGCAGTGCTGTCTCTCATATGTTTCTTGGGGAAGGAGATTTTTGTGCCATCACATTTCTGCCATATCTACACAGATATTTACCCATGAAATGTAAACCCACAGATCAGAAGACCTGAGCTAATTCTTTAGCTCTGTAGGAGGATATAATTATTATACCTTATCAAAGTAATTTCCTTCCCATCATGAGGCAGCTGATGGCTGTCAAGAGTACGCTCTGCAAGTATGCAAGGGCAGAGAGCCGCCCTCTTGTGTACAGTGTAGTGGCATTTGTTAATGCTATTAATAGTTTTTGGAAATGGTCTGCAGCAGCTCCTTGCCTTTTTTGAAAAAGGGAGATTTATGTACAGAAAACACAATTCCAGTTATTCCAAAATTTTTGGAAGCACTGAACTAGGGTCGTTGCTGGTTGAATACTGAGTACTAAGGAAGGTCTTGCTGACCAGATAGCACAGATTATATATTTCTTATTTTCTTGGGTAGGACAGCTTCAGTTTGCTCACATGTTGAGTTATTTGTGGCTTTTCTAACAGCTGGAAGGTTACAGTATCTTTCAGTGCACCTACAGGTAGGTATTATGACAGCAGCAACTCACTCTGCCTGTTTGAAGCTTGCAAAGAGCAACTGAGGTGTGCATCCTTCTAAAATGCTAAATAGCAAGCCTTTAATTATCCAAGCCTTTCTAATAAGTTTCTTTTATTTGTTTTTAGGGATGACAATAAAATAAAGAAACAGGATATCCCAGCAGTTTGTGATCTTCACTGCTGTAAGGATGTGCCTGTAAGAAATGGCCTTATTGGGCAGAAGCCACCGTCTATCAACCCCGAGAGACTGAAGGACTTTGGTGAGGAGGATTACCTGAATGGGGATGTGAAGACCTGGGAAATGAAGATAGTGAGCCGAAATGAGGAGTTACTTAGGGATGCCCTTTCCTGCATCCCTCAGCCGAGCAGTAGGACCAGCCTGGCAAGCTGTAACAGGCTGATTCGATTTGAAGACATTAGTGCAGCAGCCTTCAAAATCCAGTGTGGTGTTCAGAAAACCCCCTGCATGGTAGGGAATCTTTATGGTTTTGCATTCTCTGTGTTTCTTTTCCTTTTCCTTGTGAAAGTCGATCAGAAATGAAGGGTATGTGTGAATTGCAGCAGATCTGTGTAGGAAGACTCATGTTCATATTAATTGTATTTAACTGTCAATAATAATTTTCTTCTTATCTGTTTACACTAACCTAAATCCTCAAAGATTGCAGTGACCTGTAAACAAAGGATAAACCAAATTAGGCATAGACTTAATGCACTGTGGTATTATGCTCCCAGTGAAAGACTCCTGCCATAAGGAACCTGAGTTGGAGGTGGCAGACTACGAATGCTTGGGTAAGCACTCTTGTGGGAGGGTCTGGTTTGGAACCAGCCCTCATATTTGGAGGGTTTGAAGGTACAGATTTGCCTTCTCAGTCAGGCCAACCAGGATATGTTCTGTAGCCAGGTATTTCTGCCACAGCTGTCTTCAGGAAAATAAGGATACACACAAACATGTGCACCTGTCATTGGTGTAGAAATGGCTGAGATCCCCCCATAAATGTACAAGGTCTGCTAAAGCATAAGAGAAGTACAATGCAGCTGTACTGTATTTCTGTACTTTTCATAGTGTTTTTCTACCATTGGGAGCTCTTCAAGCAGGCTACTCTGGTCTCTCTGGGTAATCTCTTTTCCTTTTCGTGGGTGAAAAGAGTGTCTTTGCCAAATGGCAATTCCTAGCAGCAGTCCCAAATCATGCTCTCAATGAATCCTTGTGGATTGTTTTTCTGGCATGCACAGGGTAAGAACCTTGCAATCTGCTTGGAGTCCCTGGAGTGTAGTGGTTAGGTCCTCAAAGTTGTCCTTGTTCCCAGCTGCTGATCCAGAGACATCATAACTAATTCCAGTGTGGATTTTTTAGCCTAGCATTCCCAAAATAAGGACAGCAGTGCTTTTTGTAGCACATTACTGAAGAAGTGTGTCTTGTGTCAAAGGATGTGGTAGAAGACAGTTTGGGGCTGTAAGGTGGCACAAAATATTTGACTGGACTGCAGGGAAGTTTTGGCTAGGGTAGAGTTAATTTTCTTCACAGTAGCTGGTATAGGGCTGTGTTTTGGATTTGTGATGAAAATATTGTTGATAAGATGGAAATGTTTTTGTTACTGCTGAGCAGCCTTACACAGAGTTAAGGTGTTTTCTCTTCCTCACTCCATCCCACCAGTGAGAAGACGGGATGTACAAGGAGTTGGGAGGGGACACAGCTGGAGCTGCTGACCTCAACTGACCAAAGGGACATTCTATACTATATGACACCTTGCACAGCAATAATATTAGGGGGAAAGTTGGCTGGGAACCTGTGGCTCAGGGCCTGGCTGGTTGTCAGCTGGTTGTTGGTGAGCAATTGTTTTCAATTGCGTAAGCTGTTTTTCTTGGGTCTTATTTATCTTTCTTTGTTATTTTCCTTTTACTTACATTGCTGTTGTTTATTTATTTTTTTTTTTTTTTACTAACTGTTCTTATCCCAACCCATGAGATTTCTCACTTTTACCCTTCCAATTCTCATCTGCCCCAGAGCACTGGGGCAGGGAAATGAGCAAGTGGTAGGATGATATTTAGTTGCCAGATGAGGTTAAACCATGACACCCCTCAACTTAAATAGCTCCTTTCTCCTGGGTGTCCCTGGCAGATTTATGCAACCCAGTTGTACCCCTTTTCTGCATTTATTGTTTCAAGCTAAACAGTCTCACTTTCTTAGTCTTTTTTTTATGAACTATGCATTTAAAATTATCAAAATAGTGGAAAACCTATATCCATATAAAACCCAATATATTTTAGTGTGAAAATAGCCCATGACTGTTATTCAAAGTAATATTCCTGCAGAAGTTATTAGTGCATTTCAAGCATTGTTTTAAAAGCACAGAATGATGTCAAGAAAAACAGAAAACCTTTATTTTAACTCATTGTGTAGAGGTAAGATTCCCTTTCAAGGATATTTGTTTAGACTAAGTAAGTGTATGACTATAATCCATTTAGATAATTGAAGGGAGAAACACTTTTCAGGGTGATTTCTAATCTGCAGATAAAACCATGGATGGAGCATGCAGATAAAACCATGGACGGTTCCCTAGGCAGGAGTTTGCCTTGGAGCTGAGATACCATCGTGAGTGAATTGCAACATGTCCAAGAGGTAGTGAGCGTAGGAAAACTAGGACCTGACATCAAGGTGGAACCTGGTTTGGCTACTGATGAAGGAGCTGTAAGGGCTGTGTTGTGTTAGCTTTGTGGATGCCAGAGGGAGGCTGTGCTGTGTGTTGTACTTTAGACATGGTATCTGTAGTCCTTAGATAAGATCACAGTGACTAAAAGGAAACCTTACAGGCTGGTTCAATGTGTCTTAGGAGGTCACACATCAGGTCAGCTCAACTGCAAATAGTGCTGATGCCTGCTTTGTTAGAAGGAATTGCTATATTTAGGCTATATGAAAAAATCCTCAGTTAAAGGAAGACTAAAAGGATAACCTAAAGAATTAAAATGCCAAGTATCAAAATTAAAGATAAATATCAATCTAAAGGACACCGCCCCTGTGGGAGAGTGACTTAATGACACAGTTTTAAATGCTAAGGAGACTTAGCAACTTTATTATGCACAGGATTCATCTCCTTAAATCCTTTTTCTGATTGTTTGCTCTAGAATCAAAGATTCTCTACAAATACAGGTATGGTACATGAAGCACTAGTAGCATTTCTTTTATGGTGTTTTTGTTCTATTTTGCATAGGCATTCTCCATGGATTAGGATGTTTAGGATATAAACTGTTATCCTATTAGTGTGCTAAGCACTTTCCATTGTTTCAGTTTCTGCAGCCAGATTTGCAAAGGAGCAGCTCTTATGTCAGGATTTTCAGGAGCAAAATAGAGAATCTGGCCCCACCTATGGGTGAGGAACTTTACATATGCTTGGAAATCCACTAAAAAGCCTTGAATCATTCACCTGAAACATGTAGTTTGAATATATACTTTAAAGCAAGTGTCTGCTTCAGATATGTTTAGTTTATATAAATTCACTTGGAAAGTCCTGCAGGCTGAAAACCATGTCAGTACATATTAGTGTGTGCACTATACATTGTGTGTATGACACTGCCAGATAATTGCTTGAGAGAAATATTTTGTCACACTGTTTTTGGATCTGTCTCACTTCATGACTTATCTTAAATGAGAACTTGATCCCCTAAATCACCAGGGCCTCATTTGCTTTGGCAGCCACAGAGGAGATGGAGCCAATTCTGAAATAGAGCTGCAGTAAGCCAGGGGAGCCAGCACCCACAGGCTTGCTGCAGCTCTATTTCACAAGTTATCTTGTGTAAAACTCTTGGTTTAATGAATATGGCAATAGGAAATTAATATGTTGATGTATGCTGGGAGTGTTTTATTATAAAGTTTAACAAATATTTGCCATCAAGAATTTTTAAAAATCATGCACTTAGGCACTGCATCACATGTAATGTGCTTGTTAATTCCCCTCAGCTCAGGCATAATTTCTGTTCCAAACACTAAACATTTCCAAACAGCTGCTGCTCACACATGCAGTCCTGGGAAATTGTTTTTTTATTGTTTCCATTTTTCTTTGAGTAAGAAATGTCTTTACTAATATTCTACTGGCCTTAGCATGCAAGATAGACAACATTCAGTGGTGAATCAGTGGCAGAAACCATAGCAGAGTCATAATCGGGCTTAAGGAGGCATTTTCTGATGGCTTTTGTATCTATTAGATGATTACCTTATTTTTTGGGTATTCAATATCCAGTTCTGGCAAGTACTGGAAGCATGGGTCTTGAGACAATTAAAAATTTTTGTTTTAATGCCTGTGTTTGAACAATAAGATCCAAAGTAAGTGCAATTTTCAGATTTCTCAATGACACGTGGTCCATATTTCACTGTTGTGAGTTTGAAAATCACACCCATAAGGCAGAAGGACCTGGAAGGTAACAACACACTGTTGTGAATTTATAAAGAAACCAGAAGATGAATTTTACTTTTTAGAGCTCATATATAGCAGTAGAATTCATACCTTAACAGGCAGTTGATGGGGTGTGGAAGATTTTTCTTATATCTACTTTACTTCTATATTTACTTCTATAAGTAAAGTAGATATTTTTCTTATATCTACTTTACTTCTATAAGATACTTCTTATATCTACTTTAATAGTAGATATATTGACTGTTTATCTACTCCAGTATTCTAGGCTATCCAAGCAGTATGGAATGGACATCTACCTGAAGAAGGAGTTCCTCCAGTATACAGGGTCTGTGAAGGAACGAGGTGTACTTTACCTTCTGATGTCATTGCCTCAGGTATAGCAAATTGTCAGCATTCAAAAAGAAGTAAATCACAAAAATGGAGTGGAGTTGAAGATAAATTTACCTCTGATCTCCATGCAATCACAGTGTTTCTTGTCTTTAGAATCATTGTACTGAACACAGCATGTGAACAGAGATAGGTCTGAATGTAAAATACTACTTTATTTACAATTGGCTGATCTGCTGGTGAAATTCTTTCAAATGTTTGAAACAAAAGCTTGTGAAATGGAAACATCAGCATTTTCCTGTGGCATTAAGATGCAAGTGTTTTTATGTGTACTGTAGTTCTGATGTGTTGAAACCACCAAACTAATGAGTGGTGATGAAATTGAATTATAATGAGTGATGACAAAGATCTAGATCACCAATTGATTTTGTAATGAATTTCAGTTTTCTTACATGAATAGCATTTGTCATAGGAGGTTATTGCCATTGTTATAGGAGTCTCTGCAGTAATAATTGTTGAAATAGGCATGAGACAGCAGCCCAGAGCAGTGGTTATTCCTGCCTTTTGTAATAATATAAATTAAATCTTCTATTAAAAGGAAGCCTGAAATGAAATAATTTCATACAGGCAGAGCAGAGATATAAGCTCTGAGGGATCATCTATCAGCTCTTCGGTCATCAGTTGGAGTTTTTCAGCTCTTTCCCATGAAACAAGAATTGAACCCAGAGGAATGCAGGCACAGGCATTGATCTTGTGCTGTTTTAGCTTTGTGTGTAAATCCTGAGATCACACCAGACATGCATATAGTGCACCCTAATATCACAATTCAACCAGCTGGTAAAGGGAAAAAAGGAAGCCAGTCATTAGAATGCCCCAGAATCGTATGGGACAACTATGTGACACTGTCTAATGTGCAACAACACCCCTGGTTTTTAGGAGCAGCAAAGAAAAGGGGTGATCGTGGCTTTGGACAGTAACTTTTCCATGGCTGTTGCTTACCATGCCTCCGAGCTCCGGATTGCCGTGTTTGTCATCCTGCCCAGCAGCACGGCCCCGGCCAGGGTGAAGATGTGCCGCGAGTACGGAGCCATGGTCATCTCCTACGGCGCCACCGCCAAGGACTCCCAGGTGCACGCCCGCAGGCTGGCCCAGGAGAACGGCTACCTCTACCTGGAAGAGTGAGTGCAAGCCAGCTGCATTAGCAACATCTCATTAGATGCCTGCACAGCTCTGCAAAAGCAATTAGTTTCCTTAAAACGTTATCACAGCTCATCCAAATGCTCCTCTTAGCTGGAATATGGATGGTTATGTGTTCCCAGGCACAAATCATTTCTTTCTGTAACAGCTGGGGATGGAGACCAAACTGAAACACTCTTCTCTGCCCCTAAATTAGGCAAATTCTGTGATTAGGGATTTCTATGGATTAATATGATAGTGCCTATAGGTTAATTCTTTAGTAAGAATTAACCTGCCAGAAAGCTTATTTCTGGTCTCTCTGTTTGAAGTTAAGAGGGTAAAAGTTAATCTTTAATGCAAAGGGTTCAGTGGGATAATGTGGAGCAAGAGAAGGTTAATGCTCTAAGATGGTCACATATCTGGTGTGAGGAGCAAAACTGATACTGCCTTGAAAAAAAGATCATTAAGAGGCTACTTCACACATATATTTAAAGAAGCTAAGGATGAGTGTAAATCTAAATTTGAACTATTTGAGGTCACTGGACAAGGCAGATCCAACAAAACCGTAAATCCAACAAAAAAATAAATAAAATGGGCAAAATTGCTTAAAACTCATACCTTTTCCCTTTACTCTCTGCCCCACCCCCTTTCTTTCTTTGACATTTCTTCAAGAAAGATTTCCAAAAGCACAGAGAGGTGACTCTTTAACAATGGTTCCTCTGTTATCTGAGCTAGAATGTTGTCCCTCTACCATTGCTGCTTCTGTGCAGGCTTCATCCCACTCCTGGTGTTTGTATGGCATCTGCTGCAGGGAGTGCCTGCTCCCCTCCAGCTCCCAGGCACTGCTGCCTTAAACAGTAAAGGTGAGGGGTGCTGGCTGGGAAGAAGATCCCAGAATGAGCAGAACAAGTCCTCACTTCTTTCCCAGCTGGTGTGTTGGGAAGGCAGTAGTACAAACTGTACTGTTCAGCTCCTCTGCTAGCTCTGCCAGCAGCCAGTGACACACAGGGCTGGTTCGTGGGCCTGGTCTGCCACCATGGGCACAGTCTTGTCCCAGACTGGGATTTTCAGTGGGGAATGAGGTGCCCTGAATCCCAATGAATTTTAAACACCTTTAAGCTTCTTTGAAAACCAGTTTTCCATAACTTGGTGATTCCCAAATATCTGTCAGCCATTTTTCAATTGATGTGTTAACCTCCAGCTGGCTTGCATCAACCATCACATTCACACATAAGAACTAAATTATTTTATTGTAATTTGATGTTGAATCTTCCCCTCATCCCTAAATAATGATTTAAGTTACATAAGGTATATATTTTCCAGGTTCATGAAGCTCCAGGGACAATGCCTGTGTAGAGTTTCAGCATCCAACAGTGAGGAGCTCTAAATGTATGCACTACTGTTAACAATACTCTGATTTGTTTCAGGTTACAAGAAACAAATTGTTCAGTCTGTGACTGTGTTTAATTAAAACCTCACAGATGCAATTTTTCACTGAAAAAAAAAAAAGGAAGAAATTCTCCACTTCAATTGTGAGGCTTTTCATAATGGGATACATGAAAAATATTTTGTTAGGCGTAGACCTGAAAAGATTTCCCAGTGTAATGTATGCCTTTATGGATAGCCACTCTTCTCCAATGTGGGTTTGACACACATTCTTGTCACTTGCCAAAGCTGTTTGTAAAATACCAGCTGAGCTCCCAAGTGTTAGAATGGAACTTGCAAAATGTCATTTTATTTCAGTTTAATTCTAATTTAGATACAATGCCCAGCAATTTGGTCTCTGGGTCTCCTCAGCCAGGAGTTCATTGTGCCCCTCCTGAAGCAGACCCAGCGTGGCTGGGCTGGGCTGTCCCCGCAGGGCGATGCCCTGCAGCTGGGTGTGTCACTGGCAGCTCTGCCCACTGCTCCAGTGCAATTAAAATACTGTGTCATGAAAATGACCATGCAAGAATTCAAATAGATGAAGGGCACTTGTTACTCAGTTGCAACATCCTGGGGAATTCCAGGAAGGAAATGTGATTTTTCAAATTGGAATCAATCATTTAGTCTGCCTAATTGCTGCCTAGGTGCCATGAAATTTTTACTAACTACAGGGCCTCAGGGCCTCATTATAAATGCAATGTGACTATTGCCAATAGCTAACTCAGTACCTCTGTGAGGATGTGAGAAAGATTCCTTTGTGAATCAGGGAGGAAAGAGTGCTGCAGAATGAATTACACACCTTACATCCACTTTTTTCTTGTGTAACTCCAGATCTAAAAGCTGACCAAACCTGATTATTTATGATCTGGTTCATCTGTTACTCTATCAAACAGACTCTGAGTCTTTTACTTGGAATAGATAGGAACAGAACCTTCTAGCTGCCACACCAAAACTTCATTGGAAAACTAAATCCTGACAGCCCATCTTTGATTGCTGATGTATCACACCTTTCAGAAGGCAAATATCCAGGTTTCTAGCTCTGGCTCAAAAATGCTTGTTTCAGTCTGCAGCCTTTAGATTTATGTACCCTCTTCCTTCATTTTGCCTCAATGGCATCTGATACATTTTTCACTTTCAAAAAGTTATCAGTCACACTGCAAAGAAAATCACCCATTTCCTTATAAAAGTTAATCAGTGAACTGATGTTTCAACTCCTTGTTAACAAGGTTGTTAACAAAACATGATTAACTGAAATATTGATTCAAATTGCTAACAGCTCTCCATGTCCAGAAAAGTCTCGTTTGGACAGATTTCAGTTGTTAGAGAGGTTTTATTCCTTCATTGAACATCCCAATACTTCTTCATTTTGCAGGTCCCCTTGTACCCTTCAGTATCTTGATAAAGACAGTAAATATGAGGACTCATTCCACTATGATTTGTCTTTGGCTGTGCTACAGGAGTGGAAGTTCATTGATCCTGTCCTCTCCTATGTAGTAATATAGACCCTTGCCCTGAGGAATTTTCTGTGTCTTGATATATATGTGAGGTAACTTCTCAAGGACCTTGGTCTCCTCCTTGCAGGAATTCTGTGCTGCTACACTGAGCCTCTCTGTGCCTGTCTAACAGGCGCAGCAATAAAAACAGTATCCTAGTACCCAAACATCCTTGGGTCAAGTAAATCAAGTACAGTCACTCGTTCTACAATTCTGTTTCCCAGAAAAATCAGAATGTACAGAGAACTCATATTTATTTTCTTATATGTAGTTCTACATTTACATCGTTGCTAACTTGTAAATAAATACCAACCAGCTTTTAGAAATAGATCCAAGTCAGTCTTGGATGTATTCATGACTGTATAGTGAAGTTTTCTTCAATTTTTTGATGCTGCTTGTCCCTATTCTTTATACTTAATTTGCCCGAAAGTATTTTACCAGTGAATATTTTGGCATGACTAAATGCTTTGCTTCATACAAAGGCATCAGATATTGGCCCTGAAGTGTGGAAAGACAACTCTAGCAATCTCTTTGAATTTTGTGAGGTTGAACACACTGCTTAAATCTCATTAAAACTTCCATTAATCACAAACACTAAATCCACTGATACGTAAAGAGGGGATTTCTTTTGGAGGCTTTGCTTGTAGTTTAGACTGCAACATTTAACATTTATGAAGCTGAAGGAAGTGATTGCAATGGAAATATGACTTCTTCCTGCCAGTTCTGTAAACTCCTGATAAAAATGGAAGTTAAGTGCTCTTCAGTCTGAAAACTCTTTGAGGAGCTTGTCGACAGTACAGATTTTCTCCCAGTAGGGCACAAGTTTTCTCCCAGCTGGCAGCAGCATGCTAGGGTCCACCTGATGGCACTATCACCTCCTCCCCTCATGTGCTGCTGATTTACTCTCACATTTATCTTTTTCTGCTGAACCATGTCTTGAAAATAGTAGATAGAATAATTATTTCTTCACTGACAACTGTGACCTCTGCTGATCTGTGCCCTTCCTCCCCCCAGGGAGGACAGTGCTGTGTACCTGTCAGGCCTGGGGACCGTGGGGCTGGAGATGTACGAGCAGGTGCCAAAGCTGGACGCGGTGATTTTCCCTGCAGGAGGCCACTGTGGCTTGCTGGCAGGGTCAGCTGCTGCACTCAAACACCTCAACCCACATATTTCTGTAATTGTAAGTTGCCTTTCACCTATTAAGCGTTGTGTTTGGGTGGCTTTCACCACAGCTGTTTACATAAGACACTGGTATCTAGTGACACTTGCAGAGACTGCCTGTGCTGGGAACAGGAACCATCTGATCCCATGGGCTTTGCCTCAGAAAAGACCCTGTAAGAACCAGGGAAGTTCCTGTCCCTTGGCTGTTCGGGTGGATTTAAAAGTATGGGGAGACTTTTCCTAAGCAAAGAAAATCCAGTTCTGTGTTTTAAAATAAGTTCTTACTGGAAAAAATTTGTCCCAGATAAGCCACGGAGTAAGTTTAGTAGTAGCATGGTTGTTTTGCCACTTGAAATTATTTGTTAATTTTAAGAGAAAATTTCTGTAGGTTTTGCTATCTACTTTGGTGGCAACTTCTCTTACAACTGGTTCAATAAAAAAGTGACAACATTTCTCTTCCTCAGGGAGTTGAATCTGAAAGTTTCCCAGTACTTCAACAGTCCTTAAAAGCTGGCCACCCAAATGACGACCAGGCCTGCAACAATCATCACTTCTATGGAGGTGAGAAAATGCAGTATTCTTTTGGAGGTAAAATAAAGGTTGTAACAGATTTCTCCACCTATATTATTTTCTTATTATTTCAGTTCAAACATATTTTAAGGAAGTTTCCTGAAGAGTCAGAATTTAGTTAAAGCTGTAAGAGCAACTTCTGCCACTTTTTCTCCCACACCTTGATGGGGTAAAATACTATTTCTAGTGCACATGAATACTTAGAAATATGAGAGTATTTGTCTGAACATCGTGCTCACATGCAGCATCTAAACCAGTGAAATCAATGGGAAAGCTCTTGTGTAAAAAACTGATTTGGGAAAAGGCAGGAAAATGATACAGTGCTTAAATATTTAGACACAAAACTGTTCTCAGAACAAAAGTGTTTATAAATGGTAGAGTTATTTCCATATATTTTGCTAAAAAAAAAACCTCATCAGTGAAGCAACTTAAGAACATCCTGTTTGCCTGATTAAATGGGAGTTTTGTAAGAAACTTCTAATGGTTAGCTGTGCCTGTGTCTGCACTCCTAGCCAGCTGTCCTGCTGGAGCTAACAAGCCCAGTGCTGTGCTTGGGTCTCCTCTCCCTCAATCCTCATTGAACAGTGAAAAGCACTGGGCTTCAGGGTCACTCTCACACTACAACAATGCCAGTGAAATATCAGAGGTTTCTTGAAGTGGCCCAAAATGGCAAAATCTCCTTGTGAGATTTGGTCTTTCATTACCAAAGACATTTCTGTCACATGAAAAAAAATCAAGCAACTTTAGGTCATGTACCAGCAGTGTGCTGCACTCATTAAGGGCACAAACCAACCAGAACTCTAAAAAATGTTGAATATGTCTAAAGCAGCCAAATTAATATTTTTGTCTTTTGAAATCTGCAGATGTGAGTGGAGTTTGCTTTGGCAGCAATTCTTTGCAGCTGACTGGCAAGCTTGTGGATAAAGTTGTTGCTGTGAGGTAGGTAATGAAAAACAGTGAAATAAATAATACAGGATGGACATTGTTGTATATGAAAAATGCAACATGGGGGAATGTGAGGATGGGGTACCTTTCCTTCCAAGAGGGGTACTGAAGACTTTGAATCCAGACCCACATACCATAGAAATCACAGAATATCTCAAATTGGAAGAGATCCATGAAGGATTATCAAGTTCAACTCCCAGCTCCTCACAGGACTACCTAAAATTAAGTGATATGACAAAAAGTGTTGTCCAAACTGACCTTTTGGCCAAAATTTCTCCTGCCACCACTGCCTGGTCATGCTCTGGGTGTAAAACTTGTCCTGGTGTTCTACAACGCTTGAAGGCAGCCTTGACAAACCTCTTCTAAATCTTCACAAAAAGGCCACATTTGTGGAATATACTTACTACTAGGACATAGGTAATATTTCTAGTAAAAAAGCCATCCTGTCTTTCAGCTAAGAATGAGTCTGAGATGTACATTCATGCCCAGCAGCACAGCTGTTACACCACCTTGGGATCACATGTATCTGGGAGGGTGGCATGAACCCAGTTACACATATAAATGCATTATCTTCTGCTTTTGGGAGCTCTTTTGATGTGATTTGTTTTGACCCAAGCCTCTTGCTTTCAGGGAGGAGGACATCCTCATTTCAATGCTGAGACTGCTGGAGTGTGAGCGAGCCACGGTTGATGCAGAAGGGGCCATTGGGCTTGCAGCGCTGGTGGCAGGGAAGCTGCCTGAGCTGAAGGGTAAAAGGTACAGCAGCTATTGCAAACAGGGAACTGTAGCAAAAACGTGGGACTGAGCACCGTGGGCCTAGGAAACAGTGACAATCTACTTGTTCTGTGGGTGACAAGGCAGGTCCTGCCCCTGAACTGGCAAGGGGCTCATCGGTGGCAGAAACTTCAAACTGACTGGACCTGTCACAGGCAGTAAGATTGTGCTGAACCAGAGAAATGCCAGCCTGGAGACCTGACAAACCTTGTCCCTTTCCTTGATTCTCAGATATCTGGGGGAAAGCAGTTACAGCTCCACGAGGCACTGTTGCACCTGCCAGGGCAGCGTCCTGCTCTGCTCAGCCTGTTGTCTCCTCTCTGTTGTTCCTCGTGTGGAGTCCAGCCCTGTCTGTGGTGGGATGGGAGCTGGGTTGTCTGCTGCAGTGACCCAGTGGCACCTGCCCCCCCAGTCCTGAGAGCTGTCCACAGTCAGAGGGATTATCCTTGTGCTTAGTGCTTAACGGGTGGCCAGGTTCTGCCTTGCCTCTCAGCAAGGACTCAGCACTTAGGTGGATTGAGCCTTGGCTCAGGTCATAGTCCAGAATGTAATAAAACATACGTGCCCTCAAGACAGAATAAAATTTCTAGTGCACAGCATTGTATGCTAAAATACTGCTGAGACAATTCTTCAGAAGAGGCTGAGAGTACACACACAGCAGCAATGTATTTCAGTACAGCTACAATAAAAGGGAAAATGCAAAGAGGTTAGGTTTGACTTTGCAGAGAGAGATTTTCATAGACCAATCATGTGGCTCTTCACTTGCACTTCAAACATTTCTGCGTTCATTTTTCGGGGTTGTGATGAATTTAATCAACGGTTACAGAAAGCCTGAACATACACATTGTCTGATCAGTAAGAGGCTGAAGCTTAGAACTTCCAGGTGAGAATTATGTCAAATTCTTAAAACTTGAAACCTACACCTACAGTTCTTCAGCTAATTATCTCTAACAAAACTCAAATCTCTAGGAAATGTGAAATTAAAACATTTCAGACCAACTGATGCAGCCAACTTCTGGGCCTCTCCTACCTGCTCACAATGGATACTGAGGCAGGAACCCTCTAACCTGTAATACTTATTGAGGGGAGGTTCTGACAGACCTTCGGCTAATATTGGCACACTCTTTATGATTTATAGTTCCTTTACACCGGTAAGTGCTAATCAAAACGTATTTTTCTGTCTGTTTTCAGAGTGGGAGTTGTTATATGCAGTGGAAACCTGGAATTACATTTGCTGCAACAGTGCATAGCTCGTGCCCTGACCCTGGATAACAGAGTGTGCAGATTTTCCCTTGTGATTTCTGACTGCCCAGGAGACATGTCAAAACTACTGGAGATTTTGGCTCGGGAAGAAGCAAGGTAAATCAGACTAATAGCTGGGAAATAAAATCACAGACTAGCACAAAGATTATTAATAACTGGGAAATGTTTCCAAACATCTCTGAAGCTAAGTCTGTAAGTAATTAATTAACCAAAAGGTTTTTTCTTGTTATATTGCAGAAAAGGTTTTGTTTCCTTCATTTTTGTTCCCATCTGAAAACACCTTTGTAGCATAGAATTGTGTCTAATTCAGAAAGAAGGAAATATATTTATTCTCCAAACACTTACAAAAACTGTTTTGCAATGACAGGGGATTGTTGTGATCTCTAATTTGTCCCTTATTTGATCTAGAGTTTTGGATATCAAACAAGAACGCACATTTGTGACATCTGAGCTCTTCACTGTCGAGGTAAGAGGAGATGCAATTCCAGTTTCTCTAATAGTGTTGGCCCCTACTGGTTTATTCTGTTTTCCTGTCTCTTTATGTCTATGTTGAAGAAGTCCAACTGAGTGTGCAGAGTGTCAGGGATCATTTCCTCTGTGTTATGCAGCTTCTTGCCAAACACTTAGCAGGCATATAAATAACACAGGACCAGTTTTACTTGCTGTTGCAACACCCAGGTGAAGTACTCCAAGTGTTGTATTGCACTGTTGCTGGTATGAACCCTCCTGACATGTGTGGCAGGTGCTGGAGGAGGTGAGCAAGCTGCAGCATCCATCCAGAACTTGAAGAGCCAGCTGTGTAGGGTGGCTGTAATTGTCTGACATGTTTGCCTTAAAGCAATGGAGAGAACACCCTTACTCTTAAGGAATCCTCGTTTTAAACCAGGGACTTGTTTTGTTTCCTATCCACCAGAGCACAGAGGAAAGCCATTCATTGAGTATTGGATGCAGAAATAGTGAAGAGGCAGCTAATTGTGTCTATTAAAAGGACTATTTGTCTCATGGTGCATCTCTTATTTCAGCTGGTTTGGCAAGGTGTGGTCCTACTGATTCCATGCTGTTGCTGTCCGGGTCCAACCTGACTTAGTTTGTGAAACCCCAGGTGGAAGTCAAATTAGAGATCTTTGCTAAATAGGCTCCTAACCAGGGTGCAGAAATGTTACTGGGTAAGGAATTTCTTTGATTTTGGCCTTTAAATTTCATTTCCTGCCTGGATGCAAAAGCCTGCTCAATATTTTCACTTGCAGATATAACGAAGAGGTAGATTAAAGATCACTGTACTACATGATGTCATCAATACTCTCAAGCATCTAGGACTTAAGCCACATTGTTCTGCAGTGTGCCATAATGATAGGCCAGCTCACTGCTTTGGCTGATTTGGAGATAGCGTGACCCTTGTGACACTTGCTGCATGAGGTGGATAAATCCCTCTGAGTGACTAACTGAGCTCTGGAATTGCTTTTCACTGAAGGCTAGACTCAGTAAAACCTGTAACTCTTATAAAGTTTTCAATTCCATTTTTATGGAGTGAGGCTTGTAGTTTTTGCTAACGCTATTAAGCAAATTAAATCTACCGTCTTAGGTGTTTATTTTTTATTTGTTTCTTTGGATGTTTGGTTAGGTTTTTGTTGGGGGTTTTTCAGTTTTTAGTAAATACAGGCCCTGAATGAAAACAGTGCCATATACTATCCTCTACACTTTAAACACAGTTTAATTTCACTTTAAGAATCTGACAGTGTAGTAAAAAAGGGTTGAAGGGAGGAATTTGCATCCCTGAATAATTTAATTGGATATTGGATTTGCATGATGGCTTTCAATCAGTCTGGGAGGGGCTATTGGATAATTAGATGTGAAGTACAAAGTAGTGACCCAGACATACAGACCTCCACAGGTAGCTCTGTCTGGTGATACCTAGAGAATTGTGAAGCATTCTTTGAAAATTAAAACATGTGTAATCAAAAAGGATAAAATGTAGAGTTTATATGTAAGCATCAAAATGAATTTACTCTATCCAGGTACACGAAAAAATACCAATTTTCAGAGTAAAGCTAATACCTGTGAGGGATGTTTTGGTTTTTCCTTTGTTGTTTCTAAGAGCCAAAGACCTGTGTCATCAAAATGTTTTAAGCATTGGTTATATAAATCACAGCACATAAAATAAGGCATGAGTTTAAACCTGGGTCAAGAACCAAAACTACCACCTTGTGCTGTACTGGCAGTAACAACAAGAAAGGCATTACAGCTATACCCATTTCATTCTGACTTTAATGTGTATTTTTGACTGTGGTGTTTGACAGATGACAGCAGTGAGCATAGATGCTGATTTGAAACATTAAATCTGTCCTGTCAAGATTATTGCCTCAGTATTTAATCATCCTTTTAGATTTACCCTTTTATTTCTAACAGAGGAAAACTTGGCTTCTAGTCTCTTATCAGGATGATAGAGCTGCTTTGGTTGGGGTTTTTCTTATTCTAGTGAAATCCCTTTTTGGGTTAGTGTTTGTTCATCTAGTGCACACTTGGAACATTCTGTGGGAAGATCCTTGCTGATAGTCTGATTTCAAGAAAAAGGACTTTCTAAAATGAAAATTTATGTTAAAAAAATCTGGAAAAAGATTTTTTGGACCTTTTTACTGGCAAAAATAAGAGATTTTATTTTCTTTACCAAAAAATAAGGAAGGAATATGTCTATATTAGAGTAAGAAGTGCCTTGTGCAGAGGGATCAGCTGCTCTTGTTCTGTGGAATATTATGGGAATTTCTTTAGGATTCTGCCTGCTCATACCTCCAGTTTAGTTTCTCTTCCATTGTGACTCATTCTGGATTTTTTTCTCACAGAGGACTACACCCTAATTCAGTCTTACCTGACTGGTTAGGAAACTACTTCCAAAGTCCCTGTATTGAAATAGATAACTCTTAGCAAATCAGACAAAAAACCAGTCTGGTAGGCTTCACATTTTACACTTGCTGAAGGAGGTTAGATGACTGGGAATATCTAGACAGAAAAAAGATCTGAGCTAATGAAAAATCATCTGATATCACAAGTTAACTGGATACAGATATCTAAAGGATTACCCAGTTCATGGCAGGAAGATACAACTTGCTTCTGTACACTTTCTCTGTTCTCTATGGTAATATTCCTCAGATTCAATTGGGACAATTCATCACTTAAATTGCTTCAAGTTGGAAACCTCTTGAAAATCATTTAAGTCCCTTTAATTTCATATTACTATTGTCTCAGAGAGAAGTCAATGAGCAAAACCAATAAGCAACTTAATAAAGTAAGGACATTCTTTCCTATGAAAGAATGCTTAATAAGTGTGTAATTTTTGGACTCAGGTAACCTAGTTGAAAAAAAATATCTTTGAGCTCATCAGTTTTCTAGAAGCCTTCTCACCACTGACCCTGCACCATAATCAAACTGGCAGGTCCAGGAGGGTTCTGCAAGGTCTTGAATTGCCCCAGCAGCTTTTCAGTGGGTGGCTTTTGCGCTGCAGTGGTGGCAGTGCTCCTCTGACCTCACTCCTGTCTGGCATTATGGGTTGTCTGGTCTGTTCACTTCAGACCTCTTGGGAGCTTCACTCTGCTGTGGTTTTGAATAACTTGGAAGGGACCAGCTGTAAAAAGAGCATCCACCACATTACTTCTCCCTCTTGTCTCTGCACAAAAATGCTAAATCATAAATCAATTATTTCCTTTTCTTTTCAGTAACATTACACATTCTCCCAGTGGTGCTGAAATTCTTGGCTTTGTGTGGTGTGCTGCCTGTTTTTCTCATACAGTTCATTCACCTCAGGCCAGAACTCAGTAAATTATTTTAGTCTGCTCTGGTCAATTTGAATAAATTCGTTTGGGCCAACTTGCATTTTATAAAGGATGGAAGGGAATATTTTGGATTTGAGTCCCCAATTGCCAATACATTGCCTGTTCTTGCCCTGTGAAGCAAATACACAGGAGCAGGCAGCTGTACAGGAGGATGGGCAGAAGGATGCTATCTTCAAAGCATTTCCTGCATGACCCTGGGCAAGGCTCTGTTTTCATGCTCCATTCCCCAACACTGGGGAAGAGACACTGGAAGTGGGAAGTTCAACACCCCATTTCTTCTGAGGCCCCTCCAGAAGAATTCTGTCGTGTTCTTTGCTGGCATTCCACAGCAGACTGTGGCACAGGGTGGCCTGGCCCAGCTGGAGAACGAGAGCCTGGCTCTGGGGAGGGTCTGAGTGCTCCTGTTGGTTATTACCTACCTTGGGTAATGTGGCTGTAGCTTCTTCCTGCTCGTGCTCACCCACCTGAATGCCCCAGTTGCCAAAAGATAAGGGCTCAGGTTGCACAACCAGCTGACAGCTGCTGCACTCTTTCTCAAGCATTCCATTGCTCGGACAATCTGGCTGCTGATCCCCAAACCAAATAATTCGGAAAATTGCCCAGCTGTTGATTTGTTTTTTTAAAGAAACCCATTTTTCTAAATAATGAACAAAAAGCAGTGTATATAAATCAAGTTTTCACTCTTAACTCCAGTGACTTTCATGCAAACAGACCTATAATGTTGCTAAATTTGGTGTTTCATGAATACTAAGCTGTGCAAAAAGACAGCTTAAGATGATGAATACAATTCCTAGAATTAAAGAAGCAGGATACAAAGGTTCAATGGATGATTCACAGACATAAAGAACTGCACTACTTATTTAGGATTAGCTTTACATGAAGCCTGGAAATGCACAAAAGACTGAAATCTCTTGATTCAGCAGTACTACTCACATTTCCTCTGCCCTCTAGCATTGGCTCAGCATGTCAACCCACTGTTTTTATTTGCACACACAACCTACAGAGAGTAGGCATCAGGGAGCTGAGAGGCATGCCAAATTAATTTTTAAAATCTAGGAAAATATGATCTAAAAGGTGAAGTGCCTCCACTATGAGATCTTGCAGTGCAAAGGGAGTAGAGGTGCCCACCCTATTCAGCAAAGAACTTTGCAAATTTCTCCCTTTTGTGAAGTTATGAAATTTCCTCTCTTTGAAGTCAATGTAATTCTGAAGAGGATTTGGATTTATGCATCTGGACTTTGGTGTTTTACATCAATAACTTGTCATAAATATTTTAGTTTAATTTTTTTGCCTTTGTCTTACTTCCTCAATAATTTCCAGTCATTATATAAACCCCACAAGCCATCAATATTCAGTGAAATCTCTTCTGTCTTTAATTACTTGTAGGCCTGCTCTGAAAAAAACTTACAGGCTGACTAGAACCTTTGGCTGAAATTTATCTTCAGATGACCTGTCACAGGGAATGAAACTTTAAATGCAGTCAAAGATCCATCTGTCTGGTTATTTGAATGGTTTTACCGTACCAGAAAATTATTTAATTATTTCATTAATTAATTAATCCAGCAAAGATATGATATGTAGGAGAGAAATTCATAAAATGCACTCTGTTATTGGTGGTTTTGTGGGGTTTTTGATACACAGCTAGCTGTGCACAGCTAGCCCCACAGCCAGTAAGAGCTCTGCAGGTTCAAAAATCCCATGTGTAGTTCTGAGGGCTTATCAGTATGAAATATTTAAAGTGATTTTTTCCCTAGTTGTCATAAGTTGCCTTGTCTAGTGTAGAAGAAAGATCAGGCAATAGGTTCTGTCATTTACTCTTAAATAAGACCATTTTGGCTCTTAGTCTTAGGTCATTGATAGCTATGCAACCTCCTACAGTGAGCGGCGCTGGGGTGTTTCTGCATTATATTAAAATATAATTCACAAACTCCCTGTGAATGTAAGGGTTGCTCTGTTGGACGCTCCTGTAAATTGTGTCCCAGGTGAAGCAAGCAAAAGAGAAAGTTTGTGAAAGTATAACTGCAGTGTAAATTGGGTTAATCTAAGCAAGTAAGTAAATTCTTGCCTTCCTTGCTGCTGAGATCTGTAGCTGCCCTGAGGTGGTGTGTGATTCTCTCTTCACTCTTCCTGGGACCAAATGTTCTCTATTCCTTTCTTTGACACTGAAAAATCGGGTGAATTTCTGGGGTTGTTTATTATCACTGCTGTTGCTGTTAGTACTTTTATGATACACAACAGCACCATATCTCCCTTATCAGCTGCTGGTTGTGCTGCATGCTTACAACAAAATGACAGTGTTTATCCAACCTGCTCACAACTCTCTGGCTCCAGTCTAGTGAGCTCTGTCTGGTTTCCATCACGAGCAGAAAGGAAAGGGTACAGCGGATATTTAGCCATGAATCAAAATGCTTCCCCATGCTTGCTCCCAGGGCAGAGCAGCAGCTTGCTACTGGACATTCAGGGCTGAATCTGTCACATCCAGACTGGTTCCAGGAGCAGCAATTGATTTACTCAGGACAAAACAGGCATGATTATTATGGAAGAGGAAAAATCTCGCTTTTTAAAATTACAGACCCCATGTGAGATGCGTGTGTCCCCTTGAAGATATGATTGCAAAGCTGTGGGGATTTTATATGAACCAGGGAATGGATAATGCGTGTTTGGTACAATGGCACTCTCAGATACTTTTCCCAATCATTGTGTTCTCTCCCCTCCTCATTATTACTTGTCCTCTATGACAGCCCTTGTCTTGAGATTAAATCTCATTTTTTTGAAGAAGAAAGAAATTAGCATCTAATTTGCATTCCAAAGAACCAAACAAATAGAGCTATGTGCAGCACAAGAGGTGAAGAATTACAAGACCAGATTAGAACCGTGGCTTATTTCATGATGGGTATTTGAGAAGCTGTAGCCAATTTTCTAATTAAGTGAGCTATGGCTCTTTAGATTAGCTTGGAGTGTTAGCGTTTAATGTTTTCATTCAACAGTTTTGCTAAAGGTTTACTGTTATTTTAAGACAGTTCCAGAAAACATGAATTTGAAGTTGTTATTTAGAAATGTCTTTGTAAACAAATTAAAGTATTTTTTGCCTTGTTACTTTCTAAAAGGGATGCAGCTGTGATAGGAACACTTGGACAGGGCATATCTGGAGCAGCCCACCATCAGGTTATCGTGGCTCATTGTTTCTCTGCTCTCTGTAGATTTGCCTGCCACAGTGAACTCTGTAGCTGCACTGTGACTCCTCTTGGGTCCTTTCCTTGCTAGATTTCCGTGTCTCTGTGAGGTCTTTTCTCCATGTGGCACTTTCAACACTAGTGATTATTCCAGCAGGACTATCAGCAATGGAAGTTAGGAGTTTCAAATTGTGAAGTATAATTTTCCTTCCTTGCCTTTACTTTGGTGCCTCATCTTTGTTAGTGCCCAGGCTTTCAAATGATGGGGCTGAGATATAAGAGAGATTCTAGAAAAATTGAAAAAATGACATTGAAGTTATTATTTTTAGTGGCTACATGAGAGGATTTCAATAGTACATGCGGAGGCAAGTGAAGAATTAAAAAAAAACTATCAAGATTGGTTTTGCCCAAGTTATTTTATTTAGCAGCAGAACAACTATAAAAGAAAACTAGAAGTGATGCAATAAGCAAACAAATAACAGAATTAAGCAAGAAGGTGTGTGAGAAGTGAAACCAGCCAAAATACTGCAGAGATGATAAAGAACTGGGGGATAACTCCATGACAGACAAGAGAAGGAGAATACAAAAAGCTTGAAGGATGGAGATACTGGAACAAACACTTGCCAGAAATACAGAAATGTGATGAGGTAAGAGTCAGAGGTGGGTGAGGTGGCAGCAATGCCATGCACATAGCCCAGGGAAAGGAAAAGAGAAGCTGCTAATAGATGTCTTCAGAGAGGCCCAAGAGCCAGCAGAGGATCAGCCTGTCTTCTTTAGACTTTGAGGGGAATAAAGTAGGGTTTTGGAAGATTTTATAGTCCTGCAGATGGGCTGGAAGAGCCCCAGATGTCTGCGATGTCAGTTCTCTTACCTGCACAGGCAGCGGATGTGAAGGTTAGAGTTTTGATTTTGAACTGATTGTTTTTATGGGTATATTTTAGATTTAAGCTGGAAATGGCTTTGTCTGAGATTGCTGCCATGCCATCAGAAATGGTCCTAATTCTTTTTCCAGGTGATCTGCACTGTGGAGACCAGAGACAAGATCCACACAGCCCAGCTGAGGAATGCACTCTTGGAACGCTACCCCACAACTGCCTGGACCGAGCGGTGACGGGCACAGCGCGGGCTGGGGGCACGAGGGCCTCTGACAAGGATTCTGCAGAGCCCCAGCCTTGAGGCTTTTGCAACAAATATGACCTTTCAAAGCTGAACAGTTAGCAAATAGTTTCAGGATATTTTTTTCCTGCTCAATATGTAGTAAATGTCTTTGGGGAAAAAAAGGTAAAACCAAAACTTTAGTTTAGCTAAGGGAAGCTCTTAGTCTCTGCTGGTGTTGGAATTCCTCAATTCATTATCAGCTGGCTGCCTGGATTTTAGCTAGCTTGTAGAATCCAATGATATTCCATAAACAGGGAGAAACCATTTCTCTTTACATCTGAATATAGACCTCTCAAAGGTCTTTTGATTTTGATGTCCATTGTTGAAGTAATGCAGCTCCTTCTGCTAGACTTCGCTACACTGCAAGTACAGAAATATTCTGTTTCCAAGCCAGAGGCAGTTTTCTGTTTGCTAAATCTGCTTCAGGAAGTGTATACATATGTGTGGGGTTGAAAATTAATATGTTCTGATCTTTGGTGCCACATGAGGAAAAATTATGCTTAAAGAAGATGATTTAAACACGCACAGAAAAACCCTTGGAAGATAACAGCCAATATAATAATAATTTTTTCCCAGTGGAAAATGATCCTATTTGCAAAATAAAATTCTAAAATATTCTGCAGAAATTTAAAAAAAAGTATTGAGTATGATTAGAGCATACAAATGGAACACAAATATATTTCTTCCTTCTCCTTTTGGAGACTCAGTATAAAAAGTAACAACTGGCTTGCGTTTCTATATAAAAAGGGGTCTCACTACCCATGTGAATTTTGTAAATAACATTCCACTGATTATCTTAGTCTGTCTAAAACAGGCTCTATCCAGCTCACCCGACAGATTGAGTACACTGTTAACAGTGACATGTATTTAAAGACCACATGTTAATAGCCAAAGGCAGTGCTGGGAGGAGAGGAAGCCTAAGTCTCAGGCACATGGCTAATGCAATTAACAAAGAACACATTGACCTAAATACCATTTTTATCACTACAGGAAGAGACCAACTAATAATAAAACAGAGTGGGATGGCAAGAAATGTAAGAGAAGTCCAGGCCCTCTTCTGAATGTGCACACAACACAGCTGTGCCTTTTCATTGGGGCAGCATTTAACTTCAGCTCTGGCAGACCTTACAGCACCTTCCAGTACCTAGAGGGGCCTACAGGAAAGCTGCATGGGACAAGGGGCAGTGGCTTTAAAGTGAAAGAGGATAGATTTATATTAGATATTAGGAAGAAATGCTTTTTTGTGAGGGCAGTGAGGCTCTGGTTGCCCAGAAAAGTTATGGATGCCCCATCCCTGGAAGGATTCAAGGCCACATTGGTCGGGCTTTGAGCAATGTGGTCTAGTGAACAGAACTCCACGACAGGGAGTTTGGGACTAAATGGTCTTTGAGGTCCCTTCCAACCCAAACCATTCTGTGGTTCCATGATCCATCTCTCTCCATAGCTTATACAAGCAAGATGGGATGAGAAGGGCAGCATTGTGGCTGTCTCTGCAGTAGTATTTTTCTGAGAAATAATCTGTTCCTTCTTGTAGTTCACAAAGGAGCAGGAGTACAGAGTCTGATATGGTGGGCAAAAAATAGAAGTTTACAGATTTAGTCTGTTTTGAAAGGACCATAGTGGTTTGCACATGGAACTAAAAATTATTGATGCCCCAATGGTTAGTTTTGTTCCCTTCTTGCCATCCAGAATGATGGGTAGAGGCCTTGGTTCTGCAAATCACAGCTCTGTCTTGTCAGACACAGCTCCTTTCTCCACTATCAGAAGAGTTTAAGAAATCTGTATGGAAACAGATGGCACAGTGCATATTACATACTGCTACTTCCATTGGAATGAGAAATGAATCACGTCATCAGAGAGCAGATTTGGGGGATGAAAACCCACTATTGATAAGGGTCTAACTACCCTCTCATGTTTTTTAGCAAAAGTCTCAGGAAACGTTAAGGATGGCTCAGGTACCTACATGAGAAGAAAATGGAGCTTTATAACCAAAGTTCTCAGTAGTGGCCAACAGGTTCTGCTGTCTGGGTCTTTGGTCTAAAATTTTGTATTATCCTGGACTTCATTGTTGTAGAAGCTCAGAACATTAACAACTTCTTTCCTAATCAGTGGGAACTGCATTTAGCAAGTTTTCACAAACCTGGGGCAAGAAGATGTAACAGACAGAGCAACCAAAAATCAATGCACTTGAAATCATTATATGATTTTGGAAATGTGTTTAGGGTGGTGGAAGGAAGGTGATGTCCAAAAGGTGCTAAAAATGTCAAACATTATATTTGCAGTTTGGTTTTATTTTTATTGTTTTAAGTATAAACATAGTTTAAAGTGTAAATTACTCTCCAGTACTAAACATTTTATATGTGAATATAATAATACCAGAGGTGTTTTACATTCTATATTGCCTTTATTGAAGTCTCATTGGCTTAAAAGACAAAATGAAGATCTTCCAAGGGGGAAAAAAACCTAAAATGAGACATTTAAATGAACGTATGCTTGGAAAGAATAATTAAATACCTGTGCTGCTAACCTTTTCCTTTTTAAATTATGAAATATAATAAGATCTGTGACATTTCAAAGATTTAATAATGGGGTTTTGAATGTCTTATTTAAAGAAATATTTTTATATAGAGTATTCTTGTGTACCTTGAAAAATAATGATTATGTAAAAATTTCACTACTGGTTAAATCAGCAAAATATAAACATTGTATTTATTTGAAAAACAATTAAAATTCTGCTACACCACCTCAGCAATGAAAGATTTGTCATTCTTTCATGTGATGGTGATAGCAGCCTCACTTTAAAAAATCAGAGTTAATATTTGTTTTTTATCTGTCATTGACATCGGCTCAAAATCCACATCAATCATGCGAGGGGGGAGCTCTGAGCTGCCAGGGAGGAGGGTGCAGCTGGGCAGGATGCTCTGCTCTGGGTGGTGGCAGGGGAGGCTCCTGGCCACTCCCCAGCATGGTGGGAGCCAGCAGGGACTCTGCTGAGCCCAGCAGGGACTCTGGACTCTGCTCAGTGGCACAGATGGAGGTGCTGCTGCTTGCCCTGGCCTGGCTGTGCTCCTGGGCAGGGTGTGGGTGCAGCACGTCCTGGGCTGGGCTCAGGTGGGTCAATGATGTCCATGAGACCAGCTGAGTCAGCTCTCTGGGATTCTCACTGCCATCAGCACCAACTCTGGGGAACCAGTCCTTCACTTCCAGGGTGCCACTGGCTAAAATGCACAGTCCTGTCTCCAGAGGCACAAGATGCCTTGGCCCAGGTAGCTCCACTGGAGCTAAGCCACTCTGGGAGCTGTCCTAGGCACACATTTCTTGTCAGGGGCACAGCACAACTTCTTCTCAGCACTGTTGCAAACAAGATGCATCTTAAGTTGAAACAAAATCTCTTCCCACACTAATTCCTTAATTTTTTTCAGCCAGGTCCTGTTAGCTGGGGATTAACATCTAAATCTCTGCCAGTACTTATTTTTGCATCATCAGGAGCAGTTTATCTTCCCATGCAGGTGGCATGTCCTCACAGGCAGCACCTTGCCTTCTGGCCTACAGCTTTTGGAAGATTCACAAACTCCCCATCCTACAGCACAGTAAGTGCATTTGACATGTTATTGTTAAGCTTTTGGTAGACCCAAACATAGGCGTGTTGTTTACTGAATGAAAAAGTAAGCTGCAACACCATGGGGTTGGGCTGTAATTCCTGCCAGTCATTTATTGGATGGCTTTGGTTCTCCTGTCACTTCCTCTGTAGTTTGTTTAACTGTAAGCATTCTGCCATGTATAGAATGTTGAAGTTTTTAGACTTTTCTTTTATTACAAATCTTTGATTTTATGTGCTCCCAAGCTTTTGCTACATCTCCAAGGAGGAGGAATCCTTCAGTACATTGTGCCCTCCTGAGCTGATGAATTTCCTGTTGTTCAAAAGCACTTATTTATTTTTTTAAGTTGCAGCAAAAGCTGGTGGCAGTATTTGGAAAATATTCTAATCAAATATGAATGTTGTGAAGTATGTCAATAATGATCAACATCTCATACAGCTAAACCCATACAGCCTGTCAGTCTAAAGAAACCAAGAGTCCTTAAGGACAGAGCCAGATCAGTCACATCTGAGTGAATCCACACAAAGGATACGAGAGGCTTGTCCTATGCTGTTCATATCTGAAAGCTCCTCTAAATGCAGGCACTCTGATTTCCTTCTGGTTTACTTGCCTGGTGTGGAGGGTTTTAGGGGCAGATTGCAACTATGAAAATTCCTATCCTTCACACTTTTGAAATTTTGGAGAAGGACATGGTTTTCCTTTTGATAAGAGGACTAGAGTGTCTTTAGAAGGACATCTAAATTGTGTAATTGCTAAAGTTAGTAAACTGGTCACAATTCTGGTATTCCCACAAGGGGCACCTGAGTGATTTTCCTTTGTGAAAGGTCTCAAAAAATGCTGATAAATTATACAATAATGTTCCTTACACCTCTCTTTCATCCTCTCCCCTCCTTCTTCCCCTCATGCATGTGCTATAGGTATGTTTGGAGTTGCAGGGGCTGTGTGTCACATTATTACTGCTTTTCTGAGAAGCGAGAGTAAAGGAAATCTGGAGGAATTTTGTTTCTTATGCTTTCAACAAGCTATGGTAATGTCTTGAGCTGTTCATGAGCTCTTGCATAAAGAGACTGTACCAGAATGCCCACAAATATCAGACTGTGGGACTTGCCTATAGTGGCAAATTCACTGCGGACTCCATGGCAGTGACCAAGGAGGCCATTCCCTGAGCATCACCAGGGCTCTGCAGGAGACCAGCTGCCCTGCCCTAAAGCAAATTAAATGTCCTTCATTAACCAGCACTTGGGTATTTCCAAAGTCTGCCTCAGTCAGCTCCTGTTGTGTTTGGAAAAATCTAGGTCAGCATGAAAAAGAGGCAAAGCAAGACAATATACTGAGATTCTGAGAAAAGTTTTTTCATCATTCTGTCACAAAAATGGGCTACAGCCCTGAAGGCTTTAGAAGTAGTTCTTGAAAATGGCTGGGAGACCTCTCAGTGCTTCTGTTCAGGCTCTGCAATGTTTCTGATGTAATGCTACATGTCCTCATCTACACATCCAGAACTCCTCAACAGAGCTTGATTTGAGCAGTGATTTGCCAAATGTGCTGATCTGGATAACCTGACTTTAAGGAGTAAATTACACTCATTTCCATATATTATGATTTAAGGGTGAAAATGGATCTGGGCGGTTTCTTTGTTTTCTTCTGCAACAAAGCTACCAAGCAATCACAGCATAGAAGCGAGCATTTAAGTGAGGTGGTTCTGACTTGTATGAAATTATTTCTTCTGATAACCAATGCAGGCCAAATAAATAATGAATGAGGGTGTTTTTTAATGTGTCTAGAAAAAACAGTTATGGTTACATTTTAAATTTTCTTGGTATCTACCTTTGTAGATTTACTTGGCATCTACTACATTGTTAATATAAGGCCTAACCAGTCCTGTACTTAGCTTTCATAGCAAGTGTTGTTTTTTTTCTTCTTTCCAATTTGAAATGACATCTAAACAGTATTTATTTTTCAGTGCTGTCACCAGTCAAGTTGGCAGAAATATCCACCCTGAAAAACCTTTATTAATGTCATCTTAGCTTTCTTGGTGATTTACCTTCTAATTTAGAAGAAGCTTAGTAAAAGCTCTTCTGTGTTTCACTGGGGTTTCCTTTCAATGGGAAGTGAGATTTTGAAACATTTTGTCACAGTGAATTACTTAATTTGCAAGTATTTTCCTTTGGCCAGCCGGGTGGGTTGGGTGCTGATGGGGGTGGTTTGACACCCAGCCCAGCCTTTGGTAACACAGGATGCATTTCTGCTGCTCTGCCCTTCTGTTGTGGAAAGGACATTTTGATTGCAGTGGAAGGGGTTGCTCCAAGTGATTAAGAGTAATCCTTTATTGTTGCTATTGCACTAGCCTGGAGAAAAGCTTACGCCTGGCATAACCAGCAGCATTTCCAGAGAGCCTGTCGAAGCCAAGAATGTGTCTTTGTTGAGGTGAGGTGCCAACCTGGATTCATGCTCCTGCTGGCTTTTAAAAATAATTTTGTAATATATTAAGGGTATGTTTATCTTACTGTGCTGTTAAGGGCACTATAAACACTTAGAAATGGTATCTCAATATTATCTTCAGTCTTGTCATGCTGTGGGTTTGTTCTTTTTCCTCAAGGCCAGTCAGCATTACCTATCCCATGCTCCTCAGGTTTGCAGCTGGGATCACATTGTGAAGCCTCCAGAACTTCAATAAGCAGGCACTGGTGCTGTTTACAGCTCTGGGACAGAGGCTGACAGCAAACACTGGTTCATTTCTGTTTGGCTTTTTATTTTTGTGGGTGTTTTGTGGTTTTTTTAAACAAGCGTTAAAACTGAACTGCTGGGAAGCAAAGGTTGGGGAGAGAAAGTGTCTGAAGGTGGATGAATAGCTGGGAGTTGCATTTCTAGAATTTTTGATAAGCAATGCCCAGCAACCTCCATGGGGAAAGCTGCTGAAATCTGTCATGCTATACAAAAATCCCACAGAGGCTTCAAAAAATGGGGATGATGCCAGTGCCTGGCTAAAACTTGTTCTAACTTGGTCTTTTTTTTTAAATTAAGGCAGTACATATTTTTTCTACTGCAGCTTCCTTGGGCTGCACTGAGGAAGCTTTGCCACTGCCTGTCTAAAAGGAAGCCTGTCTAATTAGGGGGAGTCTAACAGGATGTGGTTAACTTCTCAGAGTTACCAGCAGCAACCCCAGGGCCCAGTGGAAAGGGCTGAGAGTGAGCCTGACCAGTGCTTGGAGTGCAGCCTGGCCATGGGAGGGGAAGGCAGCGTGGTATCAGTGATGGGACTTACTTTGGAAAACTGATCTTGCATGTTCTAAGTGTGAACATGGATATTGGTGTCAAGAAGGTGTCTATGTACTTTGTATGGGCATTTTATTTCTAGGATGTATTAAAAACAACTTCTTAACCTTTTAAAAATTTTTATTCCAGGGTCACAGACTAAGACAAAAGGTTACACAGTAAAACATAGCTCAGGCTCTTGACATTCCCGTTGGATTTCTAGCCACTAAATGAGTTTCTACTTATCTACAAAATGTTTAAGTTAAACAGTTTGCCATTAAACAACAACACCACCCAAATGACAAACAAACCACCATTTCAAACCCTTCAGTTCTCCATGTTTTTAGTACCCACTGAAAGCAAAAACTTGATGCATCTGCGCTTGAATAAGGCTTCCCACATCAAAGTGTTACAGCCTGTAGGTACTGCATGAGGCTCAGTTACCTTGTGGAGCTCTTAGAGGTTAGAGAAAGAACAACCTTTTCTTATCCTTTCTTCCAGAACAATAGCATGGCAAGTGGCATGGTAAAACTTCTCCCCACACCAGAGTTAGTACTTTAAATAGTTATTCATTTTAAAAGTGCTAAAACTACATAGGCTAAATTCTTGTTCAAAAGTAAAAGACAATCTGATGGAAGACTCACTACACATACAGGAAATACTCTTGGGGTGTGCTTATGATGGTCTCTCAACCTTAGGTTTCAGAAGAGCAGCATCTGGGAACCAGTGGTGTATGTTTATTCACTACATCTAATTTCATTCCCAAATATCAATTTCTCAGCTAGATTTTTGAACTATATTTTTTTTTCTTTGGATAATAAATCACTCCTCAAAAAAGCTACCCTCAAAGCTACTTTATACTATAATAACTGATAACTTAAAACCTTCATTAAAAAG